ATTGAGGGATGAAAAAATTTGGCAACCCTGCAGCGTGTTCCACCCACATAAATCTTGAAACAATTTGCTGCATTTTACATTTCAGCAACTTCCATGCAAAGAAAAACAAAAACAAAACATCAAATTGAAAAACCGCACAAAACTCTTGCTCTATTACGTAATGGAAATAGAAATAGAACATGAAATCGTAATCACGAACCGCCAACATGTTCCCTGGCACATGCACGCTATCAAAATATAAACTAAAATAAAATCAACCTTTATAAAATTAAATTTAAAAATATTTAAAGTAAAAATCTTATTTTTTCTGATTTTTTTTTAATTTTTAAAATTTTACTCTGAGTAAACTTATTGTAAAACTTAAAATTCCAGACATTTGCATATGGCATATTCATAATTCACTTTCCAGCCCACATAACATAATAAGCCGCATGGTGACGCGTGTGACGCGACTTCCTCCTTCTGGAAGACGACATGTGCCGCATGTGCGACTCAACATCCTTATTCCAAAGTTTGCACCACATCAAAACAAACACACTAACACACACATATACACATAAATGCTCAGTAATCGCAAGTCATGTGCATCACGTGCGCGCATGCGCGTGTGTATTAGTGTGGGCGGCAGCTGCGAGATGATGATGATGAAGAAGTGTGCTCAAGTCGTCAAAAACTGTTTCAGGAACAACCGACGCACACCCAGCATTTAAATTCATCTGCATGTGCGCGTGTATTATATTCAATAAGGGTGCAAACACAGAGGAAGCAAGAAGTTGTCGGTGGTTTTATCTCAAGATGGTGGATGCTTGTGCGCGCACCGGTTGGGGCATTTATATGGTTTTGGTTCAAGTGGTGGCGCGTGTGCGCCGAAACCCAAAACCACCCTATGACACATTCAGTAACGCAGAATAAAAAAAAAATTGAAGCGAAAAATTAAATTAAAGTGTCATGGGTGAAACAAAAACCAGCTGGTGTGAATAAAAAACCATAGTGTTACAAATTGCGGTCGTAAATGTCATAAATGTCAAAAAAGTCAAAAAGACAACTTAACACGTCTTAATTTTATGTTGTTTTTTTTTCTTTTTAAAATTTTATCTGTTTTTTGTTTTTGTGACTGAAAGTAGTTTATCGTAAGCGATTTAGATTTGGAACAAACATCCACATCCACTTTATTTTCTGCACTCGCAATCTCACAAATCTCACCAATATCAAGATAAAATTTCAACCCGTGCACGATATTCGAATGAATACAGTAGGGAAAACTACGCTAGTATATGATAGTTGGGTAACATAAATCAAGCGCACAAATTACCTGCAATTTGTTAAAAGCATTCACGCACGCTCTACTGCAACATTCAGCATGTACCAATATATGTTAGGGGTAGTTCGGACTTTAGGCAGACACCTACAAATTTGGGTTGCAGGCAGAAAAGCTAATTGTTAAAAGCATTCACGCACGCTCTACTGCAACATTCAGCATGAAGGGATGTATGTTAGGGGTAGTTCGGACTTTAGGCAGACACCTACAAATTGGGAATGCAGGCAGAAAGCTAAATTTTGCACTTTTTTGAGTAATTGATGGATAAAAATAGCTTAATTGTTACAAATTTGCTTGTAACTTTTGATTGAAAATAGTTATCAATAAAATTCTTTTATATTTTGATTAGGAATTTTATTCTGAATAAATTTGTGAAGAAATATTTAAAATAACTTAATTAGTTTTGGAGTAATTCATTAATAACTAACAAAAATCAATTTTTCATATGAAAAACTAAACTTTAAGAAAACTAATTGTTACAAATTGGCCTATAACTTTTGTTTAAAATAAGTTATCAATAAAATTCTTTCATATTTTGGTAAAGAATTTAATTCTAAATTAATTTGTAAAGAAATTGCTAAAGAAAGTTAAGTAGTTTAGAAGTTATACATTAATAACTAACAAAAATCAATTTTTCATATGAAAAACTAAACTTTAAGAAAACTAATTGTTACAAATTGGCTTATAACTTTTGATTAAAAACAGTTATCAATAAAATTCTTTCATACTTAGGTAAAGAATTTAATTCTTAATAAATTTGTAAAGAAATTGCTAAAGAAAGTTAAATAGGTTAGAAGTTATTCATTAATAACTAACAAAAATCTATTTTTTATGCCAAAAAGCAATTTTTTTCAGTAATTTTTGCTTTAAAAAATATTAATTCACTGCCTAGATAGTAAAAGAAAAATGTCAAGATCAAGATTAATATGTAGTACATTTAATTCCCTATAAAATTTACGAAATATATAATTAATTTACTTTTAATGCAACTTGGGTTGCATAACTTTTGCCTGCACTTATTAAACTACATATTTCAAATGTGCAAAACACACACACTGCGTTTATTGAAATATTTCACCTTATTAAAACGAATCATACCATCAAATTTAATGAGATAATCGCGTTGAGCATAATGAAACCGTAATGAAAACGCAATGAAAACTTAATTAGAAGTAAAATGATAGCCCTGAGCCAGAAACGAGCAGAAAATTGAAGTTTGCCGAGATAAGCCGGCGTCGAATAGATATATATTTTTGCCATTCAGTTGTTGTTGAGTTCATTTCATTGTTACATTACCTTGGCAATCCACCCCACCAAATCCAACCATGAGTACTGCAGTTCGAATAGAAGTCTTGTCTTGTCTTAACTTTGTTCTTCAAGTGTTGGCTGCTGCTGCTTGACCGAACCACAAGCGCGCTCCACCAGAACAAACGCTCTCGCCACGCTCCGTGGACTTAATTAAAAATTGAAGAATCAGAATTTTAGCATTTACATAAAAACGCACACACTACAACAACCGCAACACGCGAGTTTAACTATGTGGCATAAAATGCAAAGCATGCTTAAGTAACCACGCAACAAAACGAACTAAAAATTTGAAAAAAAAATTTTGTAAATTTTTTTTAATCCAACACTGCTTTTGGTGAATAATTAACGCTCTATGAAACGTAGTCATGCACTCGACTTGAATAATTTATTGTGTTTGACAGGGGCGAGAGAATTGCGAATGTAAATTACTCGCGTTGAACTTCACTTGATCATCAATTATTATTTTATTATTGTTGGTAGAATACTATACGCGCATTTCACTCTTATGTAGGTAACTTTTGGGGAATTTCCATATTCATTTGCCTTTGTTATGTTTATGAATAGTTGGCAAGCCGGATATTTTCGACAACATTTACATACGATTGCGATTGTATTGACATATTTCAAGTTAGCAATATTTTTTTACGATTAGGTAGGTATTAAAAACGAAGTTAAAGTGGTGTAAAAATTTAAAGAGCGACGAGTTTCGCTAATATTGATCCAACTTTGTGTCGTGAAACGTGTGGAAAGTGGAAAGTTGGCTGCCTTGTTGGAACTTTTTGTTACCTATTAACTATTTTTAGATCGCGAGCGCGCACTGTAAAGCACAAAATAATAAAAAAGAACGAATAGCAAATAAGACGGGACGACTGGTAAAGTTTACAATAGATAACATAAGTCATAATGTCGAAACTAAACGTCGGTGAAGCTCGTTTTAATTATTCATAATTCGTTTCAAGGTATTTTGCATTTATTGCTTTGAGTTAAGTTTTAGAGGTTTGCTCGAAAAGTACTTCTGATAAAATTATTATTTTTTCATGTGTTTGTTTTTTATTAAATTCTACGTAGGATAGATAATTTATTTTGGGGATTATATTGCTTAAAAATTAAGTTATAGGCAATTAAAGTTGATTTTTGATAAATAAATAGCAGAATTGTTACAATTTTGTTTATAACTTCTGATTAAAAAGTGGTATCAGTACAATTATTTTTTAGTTTGATAAAGAATTTTAAATTGAATAAATTTATGAAGAAATTTTTAAAATATCTTAATTAGTTTAGGAGTTATTCATTAAAAACTAGCAAAAATCAATTTTTTGTGAAAAACAAATTTTTTGGTAATTTACGCTTCAAAAACAAGTTTACTGCCTAGATATTAAATTCAAAGTATATAAAAGTACACTTATTGATTCTATATTAAATTCCATAACTGATTCTCTTTGATAATTAATTTATTTGAAAAAGAAGTTATTGACAATTAAAGTTGAATTTTGAATGAAAAAATAACAAAACTTTTACAAATTTGTTTATAACTTTTGATTAAAAGCAGCTATCAATAAAATTCTTTCTCATTTGGATAGAGAATTTAATTCTGAATAAACGTATGAAGAAAAAATTAAAATAAGTGTATTATTTTAGGAGTTATTAATTAATAACTAACAAAAATCAAATATTTTATCTAAAAATTTCAATTTTTCTCTATTTTTCACTTAAAAAATCACTTTACTACCTACTAAATAAAATACAAGAGTCAACTGGAGGATTAATAAGTGGTACACGCAACTTTTTTCACGTTCCACATCTTCCCAAAGCCCTCCCCGAATTGATTTCTGTGAAATTTCCTGTCTCGACATGTCGAAATCGTCTAAGATGGATACAGTAGGAAAACTACGCTAGTATATGATAGTTGGGTAACATAAATCAAGCGCACAAATTACCTGCAATTTGTTAAAAGCATTCACGCACGCTCTACTGCAACATTCAGCATGTACCAATATATGTTAGGGGTAGTTCGGACTTTAGGCAGACACCTACAAATTTGGGTTGCAGGCAGAAAGCTAAATTTTGTACTTTTTTGAAGAATTGATGGATAAAAATAGCAAACTTGTTACAAATTCGCTTATAACTTCCGTTTAAAAACTGATATCAATAAAATTCTTTCACATTTAGATAAAGAATTTTATTCTTAATATATTTGCAAAAAAATCACTAAAATAATTTAATTATTTTAAGAGTTATTCATTAATAACTAACAAAAATCAATTTGTCATGCAAAAATTATATTTTTACATAATTTGCACTTAAAACAGTATTATCCTGCTTAATAATAATAATAAAAGTAAAATATTTTTAAAAATTGATTCCCCATAAAATTTTACACAAATCCTCGCTTTGTAGGATCAATCATCTCAGCCCCTTCGTCATCATCCTTCACAAAATACTTCTTATAAATATTCCTCTTTCCTTTATCCAAATAAAACAACACAACCTGCACCAATACAGCAATAATCAACGAAGAAATCACCACAGATATAGCAATCTTCGGCGCACGTCCCCAATCCACCAATTTATAAATATAATGCCTACCCTTATGATCCACGCCACCTTTCAAATAAAACACCCCGGAAAACAGCGCATAAATCACTCCAAAACCAAAAGGTAAATACGCATATTCAATCTTGAAATTAATCGATATCAACACATAATTCCAAATGATAATCACCGCCAACCACACATGATACATTTTACACCCCCATGTCAAATCACTTTCCTCTTGTGTCCAAAAAGCTGACCAGAAACACACGGAAACACAAATCGCGCAATTATGCGCAATGTTCGCCAAGATTAATGTGATTTCATTGAAAAGTCTTAGTTCCAAGATGCTGAAAGATGGAACACTGGCGCCGCCATCTTGGTAGCACTCAGTTTGTTGATGGGTGTAACCACATATTACTAGGATAAAGTGGGCTAGGCCGTAGATGCCCATTGATACAAAAGTCCAATGCGTGAAGTAGATGAAAGGGAGGTGGGCGTTTTGGGCGGTGAATCTTGTTAGGAGGTGGATTTGGGAGGAGACTGAGAGCAGGAATAGCAGGCGGAATGCGACGTAATGCCCATCGATTTGTTTGGTGGTTTGCCATTTTTGGAGGTAGAAATCTTCGGGGAAGTCGTAGGAGATTTTGAAGCGGGACCAGCGGATTTCTTTGGCGTATTTGCAGATATCGGAGAGTTTTATCATACACATGATTAAAAATTGGAAATATTTTGACAAGTGATATGTGATGTAATTTTATGACAAGCGTGGAGCTGTCAAATGAATATTAGTATGGGTTTTTTGAAAAATTGCTCAAAAAAATTTGTTTTTTGATATTTTAATTGCGATTATCTCGGAAACTAAAAGTGATAGAAACGTACGGATTGAAAATTCAGAATCTTCAGGAAATTCTTTATAAGATAGAATATTAAATTTAAAAAATTTGGAAAGGAAGAAGTCGAAAATTGAAAATAACAAAAAAAAAGCAAGTATTGATTGTGTGTGCATTTATAAGTTTCAAGTTATATTTTAGTGATTTTCTTGAAAACTACTGGCGATAGAATTATAATTCTTTCACGATTTGATTTTCTATTAAATTCTACGTCGGATTAGTAAAGATTTTTTAAATTGAATTGTTAGAAACAAAGTTATAGGAAATTAAAATTTAATTTTGTAAGAAAAACTAACAAAATTGTTACAAATTGGCTTATAATTTTTTATTAAAAACTGCTACCAATTAAATTGTTTCATATTTAGATAAAAAATTTTATTCTGAACAAGTTTGTATAGAAATCATTAAAATATATTAATTAGTTTGGGAGTTATTCATTAATAACGAACAAAAATCAAATTTTTACATAAAACATCATTTTTAACGTAATTTGCACTTAAAACACAATTTTCCTGCTTAAAACTCTATAAAATAATGACATCTATATAAAAATGTTATAAAAACTAACAAATCATGATTGAAGCGTTCAACAAATTTTACAATTTTTTTACCATACAGTGTGTAAAAATTGATTTCGTGACACATGATGATAAAATCCCCCGATTATGCATGCAAATGAAGAAATCTGTATGCGGAACGAATATCGATCAAGGCTGCAAACGACTGGCCGTTCCATAAAATACGCGTGTACACTGTACACCGAAAAATTCCAAATCGCATTTTGCAATCCTCTCTCTTCCCTCCTTTATTCAGTTTTTTCGCCGTCTTTTTGTCGTGACTCACGCGTTCGACATTCCGGTAGCCGCAAAGCGCCGCAAGGTAATTGGGCGAAATTTAAATTCCTCGACGCATTCCACACGCCCGCAGGTAAGTACGAGTAAATAAGTGTCACAAGTCGGCGTTTGAATGTGAAACTCTTTTAAAGAATCATTTTTAAAGAAACATTGTTAATCCGGACATGTGTGCCGAATGTTTCGAAGAAGATGAACAATAAGCATGGCTACGTGTCGAAATGAGAGTACTAATAGAATAATAAGCATTTCGCTGAAGATGTCGGTAATAAAGTGATGATTGCGTGTGTTATGGACGTGTTTAAGTCAAGTGGGCGGAGCTCCCAAACACTTTTATTACAATAAAATCTAAACGCAAAGAGCAAATTGGATAAAATTTTGTGTACAGGTTATTTATAACCTTAGAATGATATTTGTGGTAGGGGTAGTTCAATAGGGGTTGTTTTTAAATTTTAAACATTTTTTTTAATATTTAATTTAATTGAGTTAAAAATCAAGTTATTTTGCAGAAAAAAAGTAGTAGGTTATGAGATTTTCTCAGAATAATCTATAATTCACCCTAAACCACCCTTAAACTACCCTTAATTTAGTTTTTTTTTATGGTTTTAACTTAATTTGACTCCAAAAATGTTATAAATAAAAGTATTAATCAAATACTAAGCATTTCTTTAAAAATATCAGAAATAAAGTGCATATTCCATGAATAATCAACGTGTTTAAGTCAAGTGGGCGGAGCTCCCAAACACTTTTATCCCCATAAAACCTAAACGCGTGGACCAAATCGTATAAAATTTTGTATACACATTATTTATAACCTTAAAATAAGATTCCCAATAGGGGTTGTCCAATAAGGGTAGTTTTACTTTTCTTAAAAAAAAAATTAACTTCTATAATATTTAATGCATCTATGTTATAAATGTTCATCAGACCATATTTTCCTTTCGTGCAAAAATGAAAATCAAGATCCTCCTATCTACATAACCTGTGAAACAAAATTCACCTAATCCACCATCACGTGATTCTTCGCGACATCATTAAACGCCGACAATATTCTTAATTAGAAACAAACGCGTCGCTCAAGTGCGTTTTGTATGCACCGGGACGCAATTGTTGTGAGAAGGCCCCACCCGCTAATAAAGCCGAAACAATCATCCATCACACACACATAACCAATATATAAAGCCTTTACAAGCGTGTGCGTATTCCCAAACGTATCGCATCGTAAAAAACGCAACAATGACATCATGACATCACCTCGTTAGCAAATCACACGTTATAAAGATAAATATAGGTTAGTAGGCGTGGTCTACACATACTCAACTACCAATACCATTCAAGGGCATTGGGCGGAGCTCCCGAAAATATTTTAATGAAAATCAAGCGGAAAATTAAACATTTTATGGAAAAATTTGCGAAATGTCTCAATATTAGACCTGGGGACACATTACGTGCACCCTCAATAGGGTGTAGGGGTGCATGCCCATGGGGGTGTGCTTGTGTCGGCACAATAAATAATTCAAAGTGACACTGCGACTTGCGGCGTGCACAAAACACCTTTGTGTGGCGCACGAAACGGACACGGCACCAACGTCCAGCGAATTTATATGCCACCCTGAAAATGCGAGCAGAAACGCACGACGTACTAACAAGGGTAATAAAGGCGCACACACACAAACACTGCGTGCAATGCATGTCGACAGACGACAGCAATTTAAGTATTTATGAACTAATCGTGGATGGACGATTCTAATCTGATAATGGAAAGCAGGTAAAATGATGACATAGTATTTGATACAGTAGGAATGCGTAATCGACAAAACCACCCCTGGAAACATTGATCAATTCTGTGAAAATTGATCAAATTTGGTGAGGAGAAATTTTTTCTATTTTTTCTTCTAAATTTAGAGAAAATATTTTGTAGGGTGAGATTTTCCAAGAATAATCTTGAATAAACCCTTAACAACCCTTAAACTACCCTTAATTTTGTATTTTTCTGATTTTTAACTAAATTTGACCTAAAAATTTAAAAAAATATGAGTGCTGATAGAATAATAAGCATTTCGTTGAAGATGTCAGTAATAAAGTGATGATTGCGTGTGTTATGGACGTGTTTAAGTCAAGTGGGCGGAGCTCCCGAACACTTTTATTACAATAAAATCTAAACGCAAAGAGCAAATTGAATCAAATTTTGTTTACAGGTTATTTATGTCCTTAAAATATGATTTCTGACAAGGGTGGTCCAATAGGGGTAGTTTTTAAAAATGACAAAATTTTAAATATTTAATTTAATTGCGGTATAAATCAAGATATTTCGTAGAAAACAATTCGTTTGATTTAATATTATCTAAAAATAATTTTAATTCCACCCTTCACCACCCTAAACTACCCCAAATCTTGTATTTTCCCTTTCTACCCATCAAATACTCAATTTTTCACTCAATTTAACTTTAAATATATAAAAAATTAGGTTATGTTTGAAAAAATCATAAAAACTACCCCTAATTAAAATTTACAAAAACAAATTTTGTGGGAGGAGTTGTAAAATATAATTTTATATCTTAAAATTTGAATATTTCGTCGGTACTATAACCCAGGTATTAAAATTTTTATCGCCGAGCAATTTGATCTCGGTACTATAACCCAGGTATTAAAATTTTTATCGCCGAGCAATTTGATCGCCCCGCTATTCGCCAGACTGGCTTACCTATATCCCGCGCACGTGTAAAAAGTTCCGCTTTCCGCATTGCGGGCGCGTTTGTGCACACAAAAACCGGGGCGCGCAGAGACGCAATGTGCGATGCTGATAGCGATCACCCGAGCCGGCTCGTGAGCGCTCACCTGTTTGCCCTCGTGGACCATATGGAGGGCGCGCGCGCGCCAATGTCTTATTAATATTGAATACTGAACAAGGATGTAAAAAATAGTGTAACGAGTGAAAAAAGGTAAACAAATTCCCTTTTTTCGCTTTTGGGGCCCACTTTGCCCCACCCTCCCCTATTATATTTATCTACGTTTTTAAGAAAATTTCAAGATATTACATAAAATATTTGAAATTTTATCGCAAAAAAACTAAAAATTTTGATGAAAAAAACACAAAAAATTCATTTTTTCTAATTTTTCTCTTAAAAATCACTAAAAAACAGCCTAATCTACCAAAATTTTCTTGTTTAAAATATTTTAAAACAAATTTTAATGATTTTTCTCGGTATAGTAATTAACTATACTCGAAAAACCTGTGCCAAATTAACATTTTCTCAAAAAATTTAGTTTTTAGCACACTAATCACTCTTTAGTCAACAGATTTGTTTGTTATTTGTAACACAAAAAGCCTGGAAACATCACCATCAATTGTTGTTGTTGTTATACTTTTCGGTGATATACTTAACGCACATAATAATCCAACGTGTAACAAACTATTCGAAACAATAAACGCGTTAAAAGCAATTTCCCACACACACCAAGCCACCTCATGAAAAAAACGCGTACAACAAACGAATTAATTCAATTAACTGGCCATCAACATGCTTTTCCGACACCGTTTGTTTGTCTACAATTCTACATAATAATAAATAGTATCAAGCCATTAAGCGCGAGAATTCACATGTGCTTAAACTTTATTTTGTTCGGCGCTAATGTCGTCGTAAGTGTTTCATTAGACATTAGACATTAGGCACTATTGAAAAGAAACTAATTTTCGGTGTAAACACAAAATTCTATTATTTGACATGTTCACATGAATTCCACGAAATGTAAACGAATGTGAAATGAGTGCGCATGCGTCGACTACTCAGACGTAATGTGCTATTAGTGTATTAGACGCTTTCAAAGCCTGGAAATTGTGAAATGTAATGAAATATCACCGCGAGTTGAAGATGGAGCGAAGCGGTGATTACGTGAGCTTGCGCTGTATCAATTTGCTTTGCATTTATTGCCGTTTCGGGATTGATTATCGGGTGTCTCGCAGCGGC